TTCTCAATATATAATGCATTTTTAACAGAAATGCTGGTTATCATAATGCAAGATATGTATAAAAAGCTTTGAATGTTTATGAATTGTTAAAGTATAATAAATTTTTATTTCTCCAGTTTTACTTTTAAAGAGCAAAGAGGAGTATTGGTGTGTTATATTTTTGTTCACTATAAAAATAAACCAGAATAAGCCAGGTGTGGTGGCTCATGCCTATTATCCCAGCACTTTGGGAGGCCAAGGCAAGAGGATTTCTTGAGGCCTCAAGTTCAAGGTCAACCTGGGCTGAATAGCAAGATCCAGTCTCTCCGAAAAATGAAAAAATTAAATTACCTCTAAGCATCTCTATTTTCTTCTTTAGTCTACCTACACAAGAGTGTCTTAATGGAATCCTCTTACTCTTCTAACCTCTCTAATTCTTGGATAAAAAGTACTCTTGACTCTGCTGTGATTATTTAGATCTGTGATGCTGTAATCTTAAGCTCTGTCAAATAGAGACTGGTCCTAGATGCCACCTCCCTCCTACCTAGTTGAAGCGACAGAGTCTTACTCTGTCATCCAGGCTGGAGTGCAATGTTGTGATCTCAGCTCACTGCAACTTCTGCCTCCTGGGTTCAAGTAATCTACCCTCCTCAGCCTCCCAAGTAGCTAAGATCACAGGCATGTCCCACCATTCCTGGCTAATTTTTTTTTGTTTTTAGTAGAGATGTGGTTTCATCCTATTGGCCAGTCTGGTCTCCAACTCCTGACCTTAAGTGATCCACTCACCTCAGCCTCCCAAAATGCTGGGATTACAGGTGTGAGCCACCTTGTGCAGTCGAGTTGTAATCTTTTTGCTAGTGAAGAGTCTTGCCTTGATGTTGATGGCTGCTGACAGATCACAGTGGTGGTTATTGAAGGCTGGGGTGGCTGTGGTGGCTGTGGCAATGTCTTAAAATAAGAACATCCATACTGTTCTTGTTGATTTTTCACCTCCTTCCATAAATCACAAATGTTCTTAATGCCATCTATAATGGGGAGTCCTTTCCAGGAGGTTTTCAATGTACTTTGCCCAAATCCATCAGAAGAATCACTATCTATGACGGCAATAGCCTTACAAAATGTATTCCTTAAATAATAAGATTTGAAAGTTGAAATTACTCCTTGATCCATGGGCTGCAGAATGGATGTTGTGTTAACAGGCATGGAAGCAATATTAATCTCCTTGTACATCCCCATTCAAGAACTCTTGAATGACTAGGTGTATTATCCATGAACAGTAATATTTTGAAAGAAATCTTTTTTTTTCTCATCATCAGGCTTAAAATATTCAGTGAACCATTCTGTAAACAGAAGTGCTGTCAACCTGACTTTGTTGCTCCATCTATAGAGCAAAGAAAGAGTCGATTTAACATAGTTCGTAAGGGCTCTAGGATTTTGGATAGTAAATGAGCATTGGCTTCAACTTAAAGTCATCAATTGCATTAGTCCTCTAACAAGAGAATCACTGTGCCCTTTGAAGCTTTGAAGCCAGGGATTAACTTCTCTCTAGCTACGAAAGTCCTAGATGACATCTTCCAACAGAAGGCTGTTTCATCTGCATTGAAAGTCTGTTGTTTAGTGTAGCCACCTTCATCAATGATCTCAGCTAGATCTTTTGAATAACTTGCTGCAGTTTCTGCATCAGCACTTGCTGCTTCACTTTGTACTTTTAAGTTACGAAAATGATTTCTTTCCTTAAGCCTAAGAACAAATCTGTGTTATATTCAAACTTTTCTTCTGCAGTTTCTCCACCTCTCTCAGCCTTCAAAGAATTGAAGAGATTTAGGGACTTGCACTGGATTAGGCTTTGGCTTAAGGGAATGTTGTGACTGGTTTGATCTTCTATCAAACTACTAAAACTTTCTCCGTATCAGCAATAAGGCTATTTTACTTTCTTATCACTGGAGAAACACTTTTAAATTTTTTCAAGAATTTTTCTTTTGCATTCACAAGTTGGCTGTTTGGTACAAGAAGCCTAGCTTGTGGCCTATTTCAGCTTTTCACATGCATTCATCACTAAGCATAATCCTTTTGATTTAAATGACAGACTTGAACACTTATAGCCAATGTATGGTTATTAATTGGCCTAATTTCAATATTACTGTGTTTCCAGCAATAGGAACACCAAAAGAGAGGGAAAAGGCAGGGGAACTGCTGGTTATGGAACAGTCAGAGCACATACAACTTTTATTGATTAAGTTGGCTATCTTAAATGAGTGAGGTTTGTGATACCCAAAAATAATTATTAGGTTGGTGCGAACGTAACTGTGGCGTTTGCATTGTTGGGTTCTATGCAAATAGATACTCTGCCACTTTATATAAGAGACTTGAGCATCCCTGGATTTTGGTATTCGTGGGGGTATTGGAACCAATTTCCCACATATATGGAGAGGCAACTGAGTTTTGTTATGGAAGACCTAGAAAAGTATTAATATCATAGTAACATCAAAGATTACTGATATTAATCACCATAACAGATAAAATGGTAAGGAAAAAGTTTGAAATATTGTGGCAATTATCAAAATGTAACATAGAGACACAAAGTGAGCACATGCTATTGGATAAAATGGTACCAATAGACTTGTGCAGGGTTGTCACAGATTTTCAATTAGTAAAAAATGCAATATCTGTGCAGCACAATAATGCAAAGTATAATAAAATAAGGTATGCATGTATATTTTATATTTTATTGTCCCATTATTCCAAATTTGGACAGTTGGACACTTTCCAGCTTTTAGCTATTGTGAATAATGCTTCTATGAATATATAAAAATATATGTTCAAGTCCCTGATGTCAATTCTTTTGTGTATATACTTGGAAGTGGAATTGCTAAACCATATTATGTATTCAATGAATTTTCATATGTTGAACTATCCTTGCATTTCAGAAACAAATCCCACTTGATCATGGTGTGTAATCCTTCTATATGCTGCTGAATTCAGTTTGTTCATATTTTGTTGAAGTTTTAAAATTTTTTACATCAACTTTCATAAGAGTCATTGACCTGTATTTTCTTGTAGTATTTGTGCCTGGCTTCAGCATTAGGATAATGCTGGCCCCACAGGAAAAGCTGGAAAGTGATTTCTTGCTCTTTGAGTTTTTAGAAGCGTTTGACAAAGGCCAGCTTTGAGTTACTGTGCAGCATCCTTCCATTTCAATCTGAAAGTCTCCCTTTATCATTTCTTGTAAGGCAGATCTAATGGTAATAAACCCCTCAGTTTTTGCTCATCTGAAAATGTCTAAATTTCTCCTCCATTCTTGTTTTGCTGGACATAGAATTCTCAGTTCATAGTTTTTATTTTTTTTCTTTTAGCATTTTAAATATATCAGCCCACCAACTCTGGATTCCAAAGTTTCTTCCTGATAAATTGGTTGATAATCTTACTGCTGATGATTGGCAATGATAAATCACTCCTTTATTGCTGCTTTCAAGTGCCTCTCTTTTTGTTTTTGTTTTTCAACAGTTTGTTAACAGTGTGTTTCAGTGTAGTTTCTTTGACTTTAGCTTACACAGAGTTTATTTGGCTTCTTGGATTTGTAGATTCCTATCTTCAATCAAATTTGGATGTTCTTAGACATTTCTTCAAATGATCCCTTTGCCCTTTGTTCTCTCTTTTTGCCTTCTTGAACTCTCATAATGCATATATTGGTTCTCATAAAAGTGTGCCACAGGTATAGCAAGCTTTTTTTTGACTTGTTTTCATTCTTTTTTGTAGACTTTCTCATCAACAGTTTCTGTCAATTTATTTTGTTCCCTTAAATAGATCATGTTTTCTTGTTTCTTTGCATGCCTTGTAATTTGTTGTAATAGTTGAAAACTGGGCATCTGAAAAACGGACACATCTTTCAGTTTTCGAGGATAGACTCTGTTGAGGACAGCACTTCACTGATTAGCTGGATTTTCTCTGAGCCTAAGGATCAGCTGAAGTTGGAAGTTTAGGGTGTTTTCTGAGTTGGCATCTTTCCAGGGTCTGAAATTGGCCTTCTCAACTCTACAATATACATGACTTCTCTCAGATGTCCTAATTTTCCAAAGGGTCTTACACTAGACTCTCCTCAGGGCCTTAGATGGTCTATTCTATGTCTCCACCTATCATCTTTCATGATAGACATCATCAGGTCTGAAGTCTCCCTGCAGCTTTCAAAAGCAGAGGATGATGCGTTTATCACCTAAGATGTGAGTTATGAGAAATAGAAATAAAGTCTTTGAGCAGCCCCTGGACAGTTTAGAACATTGCAAATAGAATCATTTCCACTCTCTCCAGTTTGAGAGAGAGAACTAGTAACTGGGCTGTTACCTCTTCCAGTTCAAGACCATGAAACACAGATGGGAGATGGGAATTTGGACAAAAGCAGGTGAAAACATTATAAAATTTCCTACCATAAGAAAGTGTCTTTTTCCTGATTGAGGACACATTCATTTGCTGTAAGTCTATGACTGTTTTTCAGAGCTTTTATAAGGTTAGTTCAGATAGTTTTCTAGTTCTTTCTTGGTGTGTTCACTGTTTTCAGAGCTTAGAGATTCTTGCTCTGCCATTTTGCTAATGTTACTCTTGTCAGTCTTTTCATTGAACCTTTTAATGAGTTCTCCTCATTCACTGGCAAGAAGACAGAGGCCGTTCATTCTAAAGTACCATCTATATATATTTCACCAGTCCTCAATACTATTATTTTCCATCCACATCCTATAGCCAGTTTCTACCATTCCACCAAAAATTATTGTCAAAGGCAACTTAATGACAGAGAAAGGACTTGGGGTTTTGAGATCATCAGGTCTTGGTTAAAATTCTGGTCCACAATTACTTGTTTTTGTATCTTGGACGACCATCTTAAGCTGTGCAAGTCTCAGTATAGTGAGTTATGCCATTACTTTACTTGTAATAATAATTACTTTGCATATTTGATTTAAAATCAAGACTAGGCCTGTGACTCCTCCCCCACAAATAACTAAAAATCTATCTCTCCTTTTTTTTTTTCCTAGTGGTTTATCCTATGGAACTCCAACAAGAACTTTTATGCCTCTTTCAAATCGCTGTAGCACGTGTTGGTACATACGATAACTGATCATATGTCAGTTGCCACTCTATGACTGGAAATAAAATATTTCTTTTTGCTTATGTCTCGGATCTTTCTTAATAATGTGTTTATCTGAAAATAAAGTCATGTCTCTACCTGTTAATTTGTTGCATATTTATTGACTGTTTCATAGACTTGTGTTAGGTTCTGGTTACAGATGCTAGTGAAATAAAGTTCCACCTCAGAAGCTTACAGTCTTTGCAGAAAAATAGAAAAAAAGACAGCCTAAGCCTCAAACACCTTCGCATTTCCAAATGAGAACACAATTAGTAGGTACAATAAATGATTACAGGTAAACATATACTTGTATGACATCAAAACCCAGTTAACCACTTTTCTATTTTGAAATAGAAAACTTCTCTTTTCTTCTTGGGTTGCTCCTTGCTATCTGGGATAAACTTAAGTTAGCAAGGAGCAGACCTCAAGAGGTTCAGAACCTTAGGTGAGAGAATCATTGAGAAGTTATTATCTGGAGCTTATACAACATGCTCGACATGAAAATGAGCTGGAAATCTCACAAAGTTAGTGATCTTTCAGGAATTTCAATACTTCCTGCTTTTGGTTGGAAGACCTATAAGAATAGCCTCCTTTAAAATGCAGTTAAATATTCAACAACCTATGTGTTGGCTAAGAGAGCTCAAGAAGTGAAAGAAACTTATGTTTCAGTTCCACTTACTATGGAGCCTCTGGTCAAATTATTCACTTCTGCTATATCTCTGTCAGCTTATCATCTGTAGAATGGAGGCGGCTCTAACAACATAGTGAGAGATGGTGCACAGCTTTATGTGTAATTGTGTTTATTTTAGGATAACAATGACATCTAAACTATTACTGCAGAAAATTCAAATGTTATTTGGTGTCATCTAGTAGACTCTGTGGAAAAGTAAAGAGGCCCCGGAATAACTGACTTTTCCAAGGGGCCACAATTATGTTCTGGTAGGCTTTGGGCAAAAACCTAGACGTCCTCAATTCCACTCTATTGTTCTTTCATTGGGTTCTAAACAGAAAATAAAATCCTTCTGTTCCATGTAACTGGTGCAGGGCTTGGCAATATTGAAATTGCAGCACTGAGTATTAAGAGGTATTTGGAAAATTCTGAAAACGAAGAGACAGACCTCTGATACTGTAGATGAGCAGAACTGGTAAATAAAGGTGTATGAGGACTGTAGTTCCTAATAGAATAGTTGAATTTTTGTTTTCTGGTACCTTGAAGGCTCCACCCCAACATACAATTCTAAAATTTTTGGACTAGATTACATTGAATTCTATATGCATTCATGTATACATGTATACATCTACATACATTGATGTAAATCAGTAAAATGTCCCATGTATCATTTATCATTTACTTTTTTTGATTTTTTATTTCTACTTGATTCTTTCCAAACATAGAACAGAGACTGGATATAGGTATATGGGAGGCTGCAGAGATAAAGTAAGCTCACTTCATTCACCATGAAAATTAAGAACCTAACAACCTCTTTCTAGCTGAAAGTATCCAGACCAATTATCTTTGCTTTATAGGAAAGACTTCTGGAAAAATCAAGCTGATAAACTCTTAATTACCCAATTTCCCTCAACTATTTCAATAAGTACAATCATATGAGAATTCGTCTAGTGACAGAGAAGGGCAGCCTGGCTAAATATCACCATGACCATAATGTGGATATGATGGGCTCAAGCTATGTTACAAGGGATGGAGCCTATTTCTCTTTACTAATTTTAATAGAATACAGCATTTAATACTCTGGTTTGTGCTAAATAATTTTTTTTCCATTCATTAAAATGGATGGGCTATATCTGAGTCTGTAGTGTATGTATTGTTGAAATCTGAATAAATCTTTGTGGATTACCAGGATCACTTTTATAAGTCACAGGTTTCTAGGAAAGATCTGCTCAAAAACTCTCAGTCTAGTATCACATTTATAAAAAATCGTAATGTAGCCTTGAGCAAGTTAAGCTCATCTGTGAACGAAAGATACTTACACTTGCTGTCCCTACCCCAAGTTCTCTTACAATAAATACATATACATTTAATAGAGGTGTATATGCATGAATATATTGCCAATATTTAAAGACATTTCAAATGAATTGTATAGAATGTACCGTAGAAAAAAATAGGTGATGCGTCTCCATCAAACAGTTCCAAGCTCCCCCATTAAAATTACCTAAATGAACAAAACCCTGTATGTTTTCATACATAGAAGGGAACTCCAAATACTGCTTCTTGCAGTACCCTGTTCCAACCATGCTACCTTCTTCTTCACACCAGTCCTTAATTCAGACACTGTGGGGATTCATTCACTAATCCATGCACACATTTATTCATGCAAGATAATTTATCCATCCCCTACCAAATGCTAGGTACTATCCTTTGGTATGTTTCACAGGTATGTTAAGGAAATATAGCCATAAACAAAAAAAGATAAATATCCTCACCTTCTAGTTGGAGGAGGACAAAAAAATAACCTTATAAATAGATGCATAAATATATAAATAAAAATAGGAAAAATAAATAGTATATCAGGTAATTGCTAGGAAGAAGTAGAAAACTGGGAAAGGAGATAAAGAGTGTTAGATGGTGAAGGGAGGTTGTAATTTGAAATTCTGGGGGAGGTAAAATTTAAGAAGAAACTAAGGGCATTCTAGGAAACAATAATGTGCATATCTTGAAAATGAGCATTACATGCATAGCAAACAGCCATATGGGAAGGTCATGAGGCAAGAGTGTCCATGAGTATTCAGGGAACAGAAAGGGGATAAGCGTGTGAGGGAGAGAGGGATCAGAGTGGAGAGGACAAGGAAATGATGTCAGAAAGGAAATGGAGAGCATGGATTGCTAGGAATGTGGAGGCATTTAGAGGACTTTGGCTTTTGTTTTGAGCAAGCCTTTATAGAGGTTTGACAGATACAATCTGACGTAGGTTTTAAAAGGATCTGTCTAGATGCAACGTTGATTAAAAATTGTAGGAAAGTAAGAAAAAGATTAGGGAGACCAATTTCTTTACAGAAGTGATTTACTTGAAGATGTGCTTTCTACTCAGTAAAGAAATGATCAGTGATGGGCAAAAAATGGCCCGCAGATCCTTTTGTATGACCAGTGAGCTAGGAATGATTCTTACATTTTGAAAGGATTCTTGAAGAAGAAGAAAGAGGAGGAGGAAATGGAGGAGGAAGGGGAGCTACAAAAACAGTATATGGCCCACAAAGCCTGAAATATTTAAAGTTTGAAAAATATCTGTTAATTCTTCAAGTAAAGGATGTAACTGGAAGGTCCTCAATACAACTGAAAAGTGGAATACATGAGAAAATAGTTGCTAAAAACACGTTAAGTGATAGGTGTCAAGAAACATCTACGGTTTCATTCTCAACCTTCACAATGTCATACATTTCCATTGAGATATTGAAAAATATGGTCGGTTTATAAAAGAATAAACAAAAAGACCCTGTGTCACCTAAACAACGTCATACATGAAATTGATGTAGTAATAACAAAAACAATAACACAAAGCATTTTTATAGAACTCAAAATTCTACAAAGCATTTTCATGTTAACTACATAATTTCACCTTCAAATAAATTCCATGGGATAGGTATTATTTCCTTATTAGAAATGAGTGTATCCTAAATCCTTAATGATTGATCGCTGAGCCTTGGGTATAGTCAAAGGCAGAAGAGTGTGAACAAATGTGAACCTGAAACAGCCAATCCTTCTGATCCTGCAAAATGGACCCTGAGTGGCTAACTGGGTCTAAACTTAAAATATAGCCAAGCAGTCATTTGCTTACTAGCGGTAACATAAGAACTTTGAATTCCCTCAAAATCCACACCTTATTAACTCTGGAACTTTTGGAGCTCACCTGAACCAACCAATTTGCCTGCCTAAGCCAATAAGGGCTCAGCTGTATAAACCAGGCAGGGCTTGTCTGTATCAGCTAATTAGAGCTCAGTTGCATCAAATTATTGGAACTCAGCTGCCTTGACCAATAAGAATTAAGCAAGTTTCAAACCTTCATTTGTGTAAATGGACCTGAATGGGAACCTAGGCTGAAAATTTCTGCTCTATAACTCAAGCCTTCCCTGTAGGTTGAACCATACAGCCTAATATAAAACCTACCAAGAGGATTGCATCGGGCTATAGAAACAAAGCCAAGGCTGGGTGCAGTGGCTCATGCCTATAATTCCAGCACTTTGGGAGGCTGAGGTGAGTGGATCATGAGGTCCAGAGTTCAGGACCAGCCTAGCCAACATGGTGAAACCCTATCTCTACTAAAAATATAAAAAAATTAGCTGGGTGTGATGGCAGGTGCCTGTAATCCCAGCTACTTGGGAGGCTGAGGCATGAGAATCACTTGAATCTTGGAGGCAGAGGTTGCAGTGAGCCAAGACTGTGCCACTGCACTCCAGCCTGGGTGACAGAGCAAGACTGGGTCTCAAAAAAAAAAAAAAGCAAAGCCAAAAGATTCTACTCAACATTCTCTACAGTCACAATCTCTTAGGAAGAGGGGTGAGGGTAGAAAGGGAAAAGGAAAGAAAAAAAAAGAAAACAATAATACTATTATTATAGGGAAAGAAAGAAGGAAAAGAAGAAATCCTATCTGCATGGAAATAATTACAAAAGTTAGAAGTGCCAGTGTCTCCAGAAGAGAAGAAACCAGTCAAATAATTCTGGAACCATAAATATCTGAATGTAGTGACACTACCAAGGATTGCACTAGCTCACCATTAATGGATGGAGATTTAGTTGGGTTTGATTCCTAACCAAAATGAAAACTTGAAAGTGACAGATAAAGAATTCAAAGCATGGATTGCAAGGAAGCTCAATGAGATCCAAGACAAAGTTGAAATTCAGCACAAAGAGACTGCTAAAGCAATCCAGGAAATGAAGGAAGAGATAAACATCTTTAAAAGAAAAAGTTGGCCAGGTGCGGTGGTTTATGCCTGTAATCCCAACACTTTGGGAGGCAGAGGCGGGCAGATTGCCTGAGCTCAGGAGTTTACCACCAGCCTAGGCAACATGGTGAAAGCCCGTCTCTACTGA